CCTAACTAATAAAATTAAAGTATTTATTCAAGTAAAATACAAGTATAAATGACTGGAGAATAGGACGTGTTTACAATAGTTGTTCTTGAATTAGTTTTTGCAAATAACTGGTGAACAGGATATTTCTATTACTTGAGATTATTTGATGATGAAAGTGAAATAGTATATATAAAATACGGTATAAACAAAGCAAAAGGAGAATGGGATGTTTTATAATAGTTATTTTTCCCTTGACTTTTTTGTTGTTGAATTTGTTTTTGCAAATAACTGGAGAACAGGATGTTTTTATGCAACCAACCATAAAATGTTTTGTTTTAAGCGGTCTGTCTTATGGGAAGATACCTACAATGACTATCCATTTTTCTGTTTCCATATCAAAATGTGACGATTTCAAACACCGATAAAAACCAATCAGTGAGGGATTTCAAACAGTAATTAAAACAGTACAGGACAATTTTAAGATTTAAGATATTGTTTGTTGAATAATTTGTGAATCTATCTGTCCGAGTTGGAAATAAAAGAAATTCAAAGAAACCACAGATCTATGGATTGAAATTCAAATAACAGCAACCATCTGCAGGAAGCTATGTGACATAAGGGATGATTTAAATTTTCCAACCGCGAATTGTCCTCTGAAAAACAGCCATGATACTGTCGGCTCCAACTTATGGCGTCTGTCTTGCCCAGTCTGTACTTAGGAGTATGTAGATTTGATTGAAATCTTACAGAAGGACTCATGGACCCGCTACAGAATACATTCATGTTTTATCCAATGACTCAAGGTCAAATGATTGGGGATAACCTACCCTACGCAACTAAACCTATTGATCTATGTGACGTCAAGTAGGTGTAATTTCAACTGTATCGCTATTTAATTAGACTGCATCCGCTTAACCTCAAGCGCCACACTTCTAAACGGCAAATACCACACATCCTTCATGTTGTATGTTCAATGGCAGAGAAATGCACTCACCTGGTCTCTCATCCAAAATCTTACTCTTTCGGTTGTTCGTGATGTTTAATGAGAGAGAACAAACCGGTAAGAGTTCCGCCCGTAACCCCCGCTTGAAATGTATTCTATTTATTGTGATTATTCCGAGGTTTTAGGGTTTGGTGTAAGGTTTAAGGATTAGGTTTTGGTTTAGGGTTAGGGTTTGGGTAAGGATTAGTGTTAAGGTTTTTTGATAAAAACTATTGTTCTTAGGCATAGAATGATAAAAATAAAACGGGGGTTACGGGCGGAAATCTGTCCATGAAACCAAAACCCTTTGAAAGGCTGCCAACTTTTTTTTATGTTAGAATCATTCATTCTGTGACCGAATAGGTTTTCTTTCGGATTTCTTTTTGCTATTGTCCGCCATTTTATTGCGCTTCGTAGTCTGCTCGGAGCACCTGCCACGGTAGATAACTCTTTTGCTGATTTTCATGCCTCAAAAAACGGTAAGAGATCCAGTCGTGACATTCTATTGGAAAGGACGATGATTACGGTTTTTTTTCGAAAGCATTCCTTGAAACAGCCCAAACCATGGTATCAACATGGCGCAAATATGGCATAACTTCTACGAGCGTGAATGTTCACTTTAGTCTATGTCTGCTTCGTGAAACTGTTCCCAAGCCAAACTACACATGTTACCATGTCGGGTTACAGTGATGTACATCTGATAATTTAAATCTATTTGGAAATTTGTAATATGGATTGTGTTTAAAAACACACCGTTGTCTATTACCATTATCTATCTTCTCAATCATGATAACTGGAATATTGGTACTGTAACACAATTCTATTTTAAATGCATGACAAATGTATAAGTATATAAATATCTTTTTCAGGCATAGAAACCCTATAACGTTTATAATGCAAATGTAAAATTTCATTTAAAACATTTCTATAAAGTGAAATCAGCGCCTTCACTTCAATAACTTACAATGTCTACATCCAGATCTGATAAGGATCAGATATTAATGTTATTAAAAGTATTTTTGATTTACATTAGACCATAACCATTGTTTTGGAATGCTCTGAAATGAACAGTTTTTAAATATCAATGGATATCTTTTTTCAGTGATGTGCTTAATTTATTTGGTTAATGTGTGGAGGATCTAGTCGAAATTTTCTAACTTTGGTAATATTGCTAATATTTTATAGGCTGGTTCGAAGCTGCCCATTATATCCAAAATGAGGTTTCTTAGACTGAAAAATGCTGGTTCTTTCGACTGTTATCATGGTCTTTCTCCAGTTACCTTCCATCGCGTCACTTCGTGTTTGAGCCTTTTTTTCAACACTGGCTACATAACAGGATATTTAGTTGAAAGCGGTCGTTTTGAGCTTTAAGGGACCTTCACACGTATTTCGAATTGACAGGAATCAAGGAGAATCAGCCAGAAAAAAGATATTTCCAAAATATCGAACCGCATTCGGGAGAGAATGTCAAAATAAACAATTTTTTCAAGCTTTGTAAGAATGCTGTTGGAATACTTAGTGCGCACTTCGAACCCGCATCGAATGATTCTTATTCATTCCAAATGTACTAGATCACGTATGCAGCTCGAATGAATCGGAATACAGTAGGAATAATTAGAATGCCGTTGGAATACACTAAGAATACTTAAAATGAATTTTACTGCCGTACGAGGCCGGTTCGATTGCTGCGTGAATAGCACTCGAATTTCAGTTGGAACGCACCTCGAATGCTGTACGAATTTACATAGAATGCGTTCAGAACCCTCTTGGAATGGATCCTAATATGGATCGAATGTTAAAGAATTAAACAAACTGCAGCTCGAATATTTCAAATGTCCTTCAAATGCACTTAGAATGTAACAAGAATGTCCGAAATGCATCAAGAATGCTGCCGGAATGTTCCAAGATGGGGTATAAAAACCTGTTGAATCTGGACTATTCATCAGTCACTGCCCAACTCCCATAGAGTATGGACCACCTGGACTATGTTGCGTTGCTCCAGATTGCTGTCCTCTAGCAAGCCCTGATTGAAAGGGATGTGGAGGAGACCAGGAGAAGAAACAGGAGAAGACTCAAGAGATTCCAGACCAGACCATGGCTGACAGAGGAAAGGAGGAGACTGTATGGTCATTACACAAGACTGATGGAGGAGCTCAGAGTTGAGGACACGCAGTCATTCTTCACCTACCTTAGGATGGAGCCTGCCACATTTGATGAGTTGGTGCAGAAAGTGGGACCAAGAATACAGAAGCAGGATACATATATTTAAAGGTGCTACCTCCAGGCTTGAAGCTAGCAATCACATTGAGGTTCCTGGCTTCAGGTGATAGGTACCCCAGCATCATGTACAGCTTCCACGTGGCAAGGAACACAATCAGCCCGATCAGCCCAGAAGTATGTAAGGTCATTGTGGAGGAATACAAGGATGCGTTTATCATCTGCCCTACCACTCCAGAAGAATGGGCACCCACTGAAGAGGCATTCAGAAACAGGTGGAATAGTCCTGATGCTGTAGGAGCTTTAGATGACAAACATGTGGCCATTAGGAAACCTGCCAAGAGCGGCTCATGGTACCACAACTACAAGGGCATCTTTTTTGTGGTCTTCCTGGACCCTGTGGATGGAATTACAATTTCCTGTGGGTGGACGTTGGTGCTTAAGGAAGTATTTCTGATGCTCAGATCTGCAACGAGTGCAAGCTCAAAGATTGCCTTGAAGACGGGAGCATGGGATTTCCTTATCCGTTCCCCATACCCCAAGATGACGAGCGTATGCCTTTATTCTTTAAGATGATGCCTTTGGAATAAGGACCTTCTTGATGAAACCGTATGGTCATAGGACTCTCCAGAGAGACGAGAGAAACTACAACTACAGGATCAGCAGGGGCCGACGGGTAGTGGAAATGCATTTGGAATCATGGCCCAGAGTTGGCAAATCCTCCTCACCACCATGCTGCCAAGGTCTTCCGTTGTGAAGGACATCATTGAATGCTGCGTCTGCCTGCACAACTTGATGGGGACTCGTTCTCCTAATTCCCACAATGGCATGGTGGATGAGGAAGATGAGCAGCACAACGTGGTGCCAGGAGGCTGGAGACAACTTGCGCAGCTTCAAGATGTGAATGATATCTGAAGTTTCAGTGACAGGTGGCTACGTTTTTATGCTATTCGGCAGTGTTCTGATAACGTCAGGGCTCATTTGAAGAGCATTCGGGACGTTCTGACTGTATTCGAGGTGTATTCGATGTACATTCGAGCTGTATTCCAAGTGCAATCGAAATATTCCGACACGTTTGAAGAATATTCCACCTAAATTTCACCAGCAATCGAAATACATTCGAGGCGCATTCGGGACATTCTTGCAGGATTTGAAGTGGCTTGATTTTCGATTCTCCCTCGAATACGTTCAGCATATTTCCAATGCAGTTAGAATGAAGTAAGAATATTTAGAATGCAGTTAGAATACACTTCAAATGTTGTTCGATATTTTTCCACTTCGAATGTACCTCGAAATTTTTAAACAAGTTCAAAACATTCGGGCATATTACAAGAATTGACACGAATATTTGGAGAGCATTCGGAATGGAGTAAGAAGTTTTAGAATGCAGTTCGAATTTCCAGGAATTTTCTTTCTGACGGCATTCCGGCTCATTCCGCCTCAAGTGTGAACGGGGTATTACGTCATAGCTTGTCACACGTTGTTGCAGAGCACACTAAGCCAGAAACCAAACAGGGCCTAGATTTTCGAAACTTTCTTAGCGCTAAGAAAGTCGCAAGTTAATGTTAATGAATGGCAGATACGACTATCTTAGCGCTAAGAGAGCTTCGAAAATCTAGGACCAGGATGTTACAATCGTCAGCTGCATCACATCCGTATCTCGTCATTGATGTCCTTTAACCAAACATGTGCATGTCTCGCATATAGGGTTCTTCCTAGGTTTACTCACACTTTACGCTCTCAGTGCAGGTTAGGACAAGTTCGGTAAACAAATCAAGACAACTGATAATATTTAAATTAACAAAATATGCCTTTTTTTCAGGGAATCAGTTTAACATCCGGGACTTTCACGCCGTCATTCTAGAGAACGGAAGAATGCCTCTGAATGTCTTGGAGGAAATTGTGGACGATTGGTTGGAAAACTACGTTCCCATGACAACGGAAAGACCACCTGTCGTGTGTAGTGGTGCTGGGTCGCATGGAGTGTTGCCTCAGCTGCTTGCTGTACTGATCTTGCCATTCGTACTCCGCAGTAACGTATGACTGTGCCGGAAGTAATATAATCAGATAACCTTGTTCCTGCACATAATTTACATAGATGCACCTTGAGGCACATGGCATATGTTAGGCAAACTGACCGCTTTAATTTCCATATGCAATAGTTTGTATGTTTTATTTTGTTTTGTTTTGTTTTGTTTTGTTTGGCAAACCGAAACATGAGTTTCATTAACCAATTCAGACAATGACCTACCTTTCAGCCGATCCGAATTTTTTCGTGTGAAAGTGAAAAGAGACACAACACACAACTATGGTTACACTCAATTCCAGTTCCTTGTTACATAACAAAATGGCATTTAAAAATGAATTTTAATTTTAAACTTTAATACCATCGTATTTGTATATTTGATGGCGATGTTTAGGCAGCATGACCTTAACTCAGACGTCACAGACTGATCCTGTTTGATGAAGTCGTAAAATGATTCACAATTCATCTGGCTCACTGGTTTCAACTGTTATGTGTTCATTGCGCTTCTTAAGTGTATTTTTGTAACGTACAATGCGATTGATATAATATCAAGTCCGTACCAGACCGCCAAACTTTTCTAGCGGCCGAGCCTCGTTTTGAGATTTTCACGATTTCCAGATTTCCGTTTGTCAGAGCACGCTGTAAAGCACGATGCACGACGTGTTTGCAAGGATTGGAAGGAGCGTAATGTTGCAATATACAAGTGATTAGATGTATCAAATAATACTGATTAATATTTATATATCCAGTTGAATGAGTTGGTCGCAAAATTATAGACTGGTTATTGTACTAAGTTGCGCAATAGGAGGAAACGAGACTGTTGTGTAATCAATGTTTTGACTTGGTTTTTGTTGTTGTTGTTTTTTCTGACGAACTAGTGTTCTTTGTAACACAGAAACATAAGGGATCATCTGCAGGAACAAGCAATAATTTATCCATTTAACCCCCACCCCACCCTTCCAACTTCCTCTGCTTGCATTACTATAATTATTACTCAGTAATTAGGTGTACTGAGGGGCGGCGAGGTAGCCTATAGTTAAAGCGTTCGCTCATCACACCGAAGATCCGGGTTCGATTCCCATCATGGGTACAATGTGTGAAGCCCATGCCTGGTGTCCCCTGTCGTGATATTGCTGGAATATTGCTAAAAGCGGCGTAGAACTAAACTCAATCACTCACTCACTAGGGTTATTGAGAGGTGTCTCCGTGACCCTATGGAATACATTCCAGGAGTCCAGCTCAAATCTGGAATAAGTATGGATGGATTGCCTAAAAGCCTCATATAAACAATAATTCTGGGATCCCCTTTGATTTCATTAAAGTATTTGTTTTCTGTAGAAAGGTATTTTTGAAAAGATAATATTATTTCTGTCTTATCAGCTGGTATAAGCGCTAATTGGTAAACATTTTATGTGACATATATATCGCAGGGTTTTACGCGTCCAGTACTCAGAAATGTAGGGAATGGAGGCAGAAAATAAATCGCTGCGTTCAAAGGGACGCACAATACTATCCATTGTACCTACTACACAGAGTTTTTTTTCAGTTTCTTTCACAGCAGCTTCTTGCATAATTTCATCCACCACATTATCAATGATTCATTCCAGGGTTAAAAGAAATTATCAAAACATACAGTTCTCTTCACTGTTACTTCACAGGACCCTCGTATTTCCTGAAAGGACCCGTAAAACCGATAACTGGGAGTTAACTGATAACTGGGAGTCCCCCCGGGCCCCCAAGTCTGTGAGTCGAGGTAAAACCCTGACTGATCGGTATGTCCGTAGATAATGAGAAGCAGGGCCTAGATTTTCGAACCTCTCTTAGCCCTAAGATAGTCGTAAGTGCCATACATTAACATTAATTTACGACTATCTTAGCGTTAAGAGAGCTTCTAAAATCTAGGCCCAGGGCTCCATTTCTCAAAGCGATCGTAACGCTAAGGTGATCGTAGCTCCCATACTTTAACATAGACTACGATCGCTTTGTGAAACCGGTCCCTGGGTATACCGTTCCACAAAGCGATCGTAGCGGTAAGATGATCGTAACTCCTATACTTAAACAAAAGCTTAAGAGAATCGTAACGCTATGATCGCTTTGTGAAACGGGCCCCTGGTTATTCGACCGGTGTATGGGTCTGTGGCTATATGCTTGCTTGTACGGCGTACAATTTAGCGTGCAAAGGAATCAGCCTAATGTTCATGAGTATAGATATATTTGGGTTCCTTAAGTTTTCAAGAATGCACCTCTTACCTATAGTCGCATAATGCTTCTTGCCTACACATATTATTGAAAAACTGACAAATAGTACGCTTGGCAGTGAAACATATATTTTTATCTAACTTTCATATTTGAGTACTGTTGTTTATATCCGATGATACTTATAAACAGATATTCTTCTATTCTATATTTGTTGTAAATTTTTGGAACAGAATTAATAAAATCAGAAGTGAAAATGGCATGGCAGTTAGTGATTTGTTCCTTTAAGAGTTAACTCACATTTCGGGGTAGTGTTGACTTAGCATTACATCATCAGAACCCGTGAACATCTGGGTTAGAATTGGTCTTCAGCAACCTATGCTTGTCGAGGGAGGCGACTAACGGGATCGGGTGGACACACTCGTTGTCTTGGTTGACACATGTCATCGATACGTATCCGAATTGCGTAGATCGATGCACATGACGTAGATCACTTGATTACATGGGCCATGGCAGACTCGATCATTTACAGCCCGTCGCCATATAGCTGGAATATTGCTGAGTGCAGCGTTAAGCAACAAACAAGCAACTACTAACAGCAATGCATCTCGGCCACAGCAATATTGCATATCATGGACATTTATTTGGCCAAATGCAAGGCTTTCTGTGCGCTTTTCCTCTCGTTTTGCATCATTGGAGCGATATGTTGCTACAAATGTGAGAATGATGTTCAGGACAATATATCTTTTTTCACCAAAGTGACTGCATCGCTCGCTCCCCAAGGGGCTTGATCGACAGCATTTGGAGCCGAACAACCAATACAACAAACACAGGATATCTAGTCAAATGGAAGTAACTTTTCACATTTTAGGATATTTTCTTAATGGAAACTAAATTTTTATAACATAATTATCGGTATATCTCGATGTGTAGACAAAGATAAAAATGAAACAGATGCAAAACATATGCAATATCTTGAATTGAATGGGCTGTGTGATGAGACACAGGGGGCTTGTAACATCAAAACTGACATCATGGTATATACTGTCACTAACGGGGTCTTAACACTATATATATAACACCAGGAGAGTTAACTGGTTCATTAAGCGAGTTGAACATATACTCTTTAAAAAAGTAGGGGAACTTCATTTTTAATTTACGATTGGGTAGATTTGGAGATATGTCGGAGTCAATCAACGCCGGTCGATCACTACTTGGTGAAGCCCACTGGCATGTATAAAGCAGGGATGTCCTATCGCAAAGTCGGTACTAACTTGAACATTAACCACGAGCTCGAGGTAATTAGTCGACATTTTGTAGCTACAAGTGAAGTAAAGGATCGTCCAAAACCTGGAAGACCCAGGCAAGACGCAATCTCATGATCCATGCCGAAGAACTGCGCCGGAAATGGACAGTGGGAGTCCGACTCTCTGCCGGTACCATCACAAGGAGGCTGTGGGCTGCTAGACTCAGGTCACATCCGATCCGACGTCCCTTCCTTACAGAGGAACAGGCATGCATGTGTGGCATGGTGCAGGCTCCGAGAAAACTTGAAGACATGGTCTTCATTAATGAAAGTCGCCATCTTCCACGCCGCGGCCGTTGTCGCGTATGGAACGTCTTAACGAGGCATACCACAGGTGATGGCCAATGCATCTGAACCCTTGGCGCGAGGTTGCATTTCGTCTGATTGCAAACTGGATCTCATTACAGTACCTTATACACTTCAAGGTCAACGTTATCAACAGGAAGCACTGGGTAGCAGGCGTGAAACATGTAGGTAACCATTACCTCTCCAGTTGTCCGATATACATGGAGCACAATGCTAGACCTCACCGTTCTCGAGCTGCCATCGGCCATTCGCAGAACCACGCCTTCGGAACATTACCATAGCCGCATAGAGCCCCGATATAGGAACCCCATCGGACATCTTCCTGACTATCTTCGAAGACAGGTTCGAGCTACTGATCCTCCTATCAAAATCTGCAGGAAATAACGCGGGCACTCCATGAGGAATGGGAGAGGAATTCGACCCTTCATCGCCAGTACTAAGAGGAGGCTAGAAGGTGTTATGTGTGCGAGAGGTGGCTGCACCACGTACTGATCTGGTCGTGGGTGATGGTTCACACAATCACAGCAATCTGTATTTGAAAACTGTGTGACAATCAGATTGGTGGCGTAGTCATGGTGACCATACTTTATGACCTTGTTGATATTCACGTTTATGTGTATTCTACTCAGATTACAAGAATGCACCTCTTACCTATAGTCGCATAATGCTTCTTGCCTACACATATTATTGAAAAACTGACAAATAGTACGCTTGGCAGTGAAACATATATTTTTATCTAACTTTCATATTTGAGTACTGTTGTTTATATCCGATGATACTTATAAACAGATATTCTTCTATTCTATATTTGTTGTAAATTTTTGGAACAGAATTAATAAAATCAGAAGTGAAAATGGCATGGCAGTTTGTGATTTGTTCCTTTAAGAGTTAACTCACATTTCGGGGTAGTACTGACTTAGCATTACATCATCAGAACCCGTGAGATCTGGGTTAGAATAATAGTCTTCAGCAACCTATGCTTGTCGAGGGAGGCGACTAACGGGATCTTGGTTGACACATGTCATCGTATCCCAATTGCGTAGATCGATGCACATGGCGCAGATCACTTGATTACATGGTCCATGGCAGACTCGATCATTTACAGCCCGCCGCCATATAGCTGGAATATTGCTGAGTGCAGCGTAAACAACAAACAAACACACAAATACTAACAGCAATGCATCTCGGCCACACCAAAATTGCATATCATGGACATTTATTTGTAAACACGCTTGGCCAAATGCAAGGCTTTCTGTGCGCTTTTCCTCTCGTTTTGCATCAATGGAACGATATGTTGCTACTAATGTGAGAATGATGTTCAGGACAATAATTATATATCTTTTTTCACCAAATTGACTGCATCGCTCGCTCTCCAAGGGGCTTGATCGACAGCATTTGGAGCCGAACAACCAATACAACAAACACTGGATATCTAGTCAAATGGAAGTAACTTTTCACATTTTAGGATATTTTCTTAATGGAAACTAAATTTTTTATAACATAATTATCGGTATATCTCGATGTGTAGACAAAGATAAAAAATGAAACAGATGCAAAACATATGCAATATCTTGAATTGAATGGGCTGTGTGATGAGACACAGGGGGCTTGTAACATCAAAACTGACATCATGGTATATACTGTCACTAACGGGGTCTTAACACTATATATATAACACCAGGAGAGTTAACTGGTTCATTAAGCGAGTTGAACATATACTCTTTAAAAAAGTAGGGGAACTTCATTTTTAATTTACGATTGGGTAGATTTGGAGATATGTCGGAGTCAATCAACGCCGGTCGATCACTACTTGGTGAAGCCCACTGGCATGTATAAAGCAGGGATGTCCTATCGCAAGGTCGGTACTAACTTGAACATTAACCACGAGCTCGAGGTAATTAGTCGACATTTTGTAGCTACAAGTGAAGTAAAGGATCGTCCAAAACCTGGAAGACCCAGGCAAGACGCAATCTCATGATCCATGCCGAAGAACTGCGCCGGAAATGGACAGTGGGAGTCCGACTCTCTGCCGGTACCATCACAAGGAGGCTGTGGGCTGCTAGACTCAGGTCACATCCGATCCGACGTCCCTTCCTTACAGAGGAACAGGCATGCATGTGTGGCATGGTGCAGGCTCCGAGAAAACTTGAAGACATGGTCTTCATTAATGAAAGTCGCCATCTTCCACGCCGCGGCCGTTGTCGCGTATGGAACGTCTTAACGAGGCATACCACAGGTGATGGCCAATGCATCTGAACCCTTGGCGCGAGGTTGCATTTCGTCTGATTGCAAACTGGATCTCATTACAGTACCTTATACACTTCAAGGTCAACGTTATCAACAGGAAGCACTGGGTAGCAGGCGTGAAACATGTAGGTAACCATTACCTCTCCAGTTGTCCGATATACATGGAGCACAATGCTAGACCTCACCGTTCTCGAGCTGCCATCGGCCATTCGCAGAACCACGCCTTCGGAACATTACCATAGCCGCATAGAGCCCCGATATAGGAACCCCATCGGACATCTTCCTGACTATCTTCGAAGACAGGTTCGAGCTACTGATCCTCCTATCAAAAATCTGCAGGAAATAACGCGGGCACTCCATGAGGAATGGGAGAGGAATTCGACCCTTCATCGCCAGTACTAAGAGGAGGCTAGAAGGTGTTATGTGTGCGAGAGGTGGCTGCACCACGTACTGATCTGGTCGTGGGTGATGGTTCACACAATCACAGCAATCTGTATTTGAAAACTGTGTGACAATCAGATTGGTGGCGTAGTCATGGTGACCATACTTTATGACCTTGTTGATATTCACGTTTATGTGTATTCTACTCAGATTACAAGGAAATTGTTTCAACTTTGTTTAATATGCGTAATTAGGCTTAAAAGGATCAACAGGTAGTATTTTCGTACTTATCACATAAAAAAGTAGGTGGTGCATGGTTACACTAGATTTGCCCCGGACCGGTCATCCACTTATTACGTCACGTCTGGACAACCTTTACTGGACAGATTAACAGTTGGCACCATTCTTAGCTTGAAACCAATTAGTGAGCGAACCGTACACAACTGAGGGCGACACACCCATGTTTTGCTACTTCGTCACCGGCAGACACACCAAGCGTCTTTAACCAAACAATGCTTGTGTCACTCAATGTTGTCAATTTGGCGGGGGAAGGGGGCGCTAAGTGTAATGGAATGCGATTCGATCTGACCTCAGGGAGAACAAAGCTTGTCATTGTCAATGGAAATCTGAATAATGATAGCTCCTGGGAAAACATGATTCGAGATTATGTTCTGTTCTTTGAGCAAAGGCAAGAAGGTAACGCCACTTTGTAGGAGTATACAATGCCCATCCATCTGATATGTTGCACCTGTTGTAACAGGCGTTTTGTAGCACTGTATCATTGCTGTACCCCCATGGCCAGTCGTTTGCTTCTCCAGACCTCTTTCAGTGTTGGGTCATAAAGGTCAACGTTCGTCAATGTAGGTCAGCTATGCTGATGACCCTGATGTCAAAAGAATCTATCTTTGGATGCCTACCTTTTTGTACAAGGTTTTGTTTATTATTTGTTGGTTAATTGTTCACAATTTTTAGCACGATGTTCTTTTTCATGCCAAGAGCAACAGTTGTACGTTTCATGTAATCCGACACCTTATAAATCGGTTTGCTACGTTTGCTCTCTTTTTAAAAAAAAATTCAACACATTTCTAATTAAACGTTTAGCATCATATGAATAAGCTTTCATGATGACAGCTAGTAGTCAATGTGAATGATCCAAACGGTCTATCACTGTGCAGTGCACAGGTAACTATCATGAACTGCACGTGCATTTACCTTTATGACCCAACACTGCCGCTGTTACAGGTCATTGGCTCCCTCCCTCTGCAAGCCGTCTCCGTTCTTCTGTTTATTTTGTTGACAGTTACAAAGACAGATTCTTTAATACAAATGCATAAAATCGGTGATTTACCATGTGATTAGGTTGTCTGACAAAACATCCACTTGCACAGTTTGAGATCGATTGGGTCATTGGATGAAGAGATATTTACAAAAAAACGGGTCCACATGCATTTCATGCCAAACTGTAGGTGTGTGTCTTGCAATAAATTTGTTATAAAACACTGACCAAATACTATGTTGTTATTTTCAGTAACACACCACTTACTCTATTTATATCATGCAGTTACTTTCTGTATTGAAACTTGAAGTTGAAATTATCTGAGACTTGTAAGAAATATGTATATATACTCCCACCAGACAGCTGATACATTCAAAGAATGGCAAACCTGACCTGTTCTTGACTTCTCAGAGAGGATAGCATTGTATGATCGTTGGAAAGAAGGCTCCTTCGATAAGTTGCTTTGGATCAGTTCTATTTTTGAATATGTTACACAATGGTAATGTCCTTCTGAAAAATCAGTTGTCTGACTTCCATTTTTGTGGAAGTCGCGGTAGCTGAGCGTGTTAGGCGACTTATATTGTGTGCTGGCAATTAAGTGTGTGACTCTGAGGGTGTGGGTTCGAATTCCGGATGGGACTCAACCCAAAAAGTACTGTACCTTATTAAGAAAGTGTAATCCCAAATATAACATATGTTACTTCTGAAATATCATTTAAAAACCTAAGGCGAGACAAATAAAGATACGACCTTTGAATGACAGCACTTTATTGATAATCAAGATACAGTGAATGGAATCTAGAATGAAGATAAGCTGTATTGGTACTATGGAATATACTCATCATCAGCCTAGATGGATGAAAGGTTTAATGATGATGCTATCAAATACACAATGCTGTTTATACTCTTGTCTAACAAGAACATTTCTAACTCATCTGGAACACTTTTCTTATGGCAATCAATTAATTCTACGATAATTAGAAGTAATGAACTCATCAAACTTTAGTCAACCTACACATAGTATTTTGTCTAAGAAGTTGTCAGGATCACATGGGGGCAATCACCAGTCATGAAAATAAATGCACAACAGAAGAAATAAGAAATTATTAGTTTGCTACAGTCATTGTAGCAAGTGAATATTATTGCCATGATCAGGAGAAACAGACCATCATCTGATTGAAATGTACAATAAGCGTAAATTGTAAACTAGTAAGGCTGTCAGTGCTGTGCATATATAACCACAAACAATCACACTTTTAACTATCATTTCACGTTGCCACATGATAATGTATCACATTTTTCACTTTCAGGAACACAGAGCATCATTCATGATGCAAAAGTTGTACCCTGGTTCCAGGTGCTGGTAAAGAAAGTGTTTAAGTAAACATTACTAAAACATGAATGGTGCCAGTATTGGTGATCTGAACAACTGACACTAATTAAATACAACCATTCAGTTAGCATTTCTTGAAGCCTCTGATACAACATAAAACCATGTTTTCACTTCAAAACCATATGCAGTTAACTTTAAGATACACACAGTGCTCACCAAGCAAGCCATGCTGAATTCAGGCACCTGTCACTCAGATATTCATCTTGTCAGTTTCACTACAATCATTCGTTGATTTCATCTTCTCACTCAACTAACTACAATCACATTGCACATATAATTAGCACATATTTAACGCACATCAATAACAAGCATGTTGATAGGAGAGTTTGTTGAGTATGACCGTCTAAAATAAAATTTAATTCAACCGGATCCTAGTGACAACCATGCAGAGCTCCATACTGTTTTAACAGCAAAATATGTCTATGTTAACTCTCACAATAACATTTGAACCATACACCAGAAGCATCATCACCTTGGTGTCAATATCACGAATAAATCCTCAATATGGTGATGGTAATTCCATAACAATAATTCAATAATAATGGCTAACATGGAAATTCAACATCCAACTAAATAACTTGGAAACTGTCTATTCATGACGACAGAACATCACATCTTAATCACTAAAAAATAGTGTAAAATTCTTTGACTTGATATATGTGAAGATAATACAGTAACAAAAAGTGTAAAATCACTCAAACCAGGTAACTGAAAAATACAAAAAAGTCTGACCTAATCTTTAGAATTATTAAACTTGAACAAAAAGTATAATCATTGCAACAATGACAAACAGAAATGTTAAATAATTGGGTATGTATTTCTCTGCATACTGATGGGATATGATGTGCCATAAATATCAGATCTTGTTATGACTGGATCTTTGAGTAACGGTGATAATCTGAAGCTGATTACACGATGTGTGACACAAGTTGTGAGATAATTAAGATAAATTCATGATACAAAAACAAGGTAAATAGATGTGGTATGTATGTACGAGTATATTAAATATGATATGAGCAAGGCTGTCCTTCCACTGTGTCACTGGTCCATGTACACACAGAATGGTTTGGATTATACCAAGTACTACATAGTTCACTGTGTTTATGTTAAGACATGCTATATGTTCTCATATCCCACTTACTAGCTCTAAACTTCAGTTTGGAAGAAATTTCTCTCAAAATCAAAATCAAATTCACTCACTGTCAAGTGATTTGAAATACATGTATTTGTCTTCTAGATTCAATAAGTTAAAATGGCCTTGAAATGACAGAACCGATTCACTAAATGATTAGTAGTTCTCCAAATGAAATTTATCATTATCAGTTGAGATTATATTACTTTGAGCCTCATCATAAGTGGCATCATGTAAGAAGTGAGTGAGTGAGTATGCGTTTACGCCACTTCTTGCAACATTCCAGCAACATTGTACCCATGTGAGGAATCGAACCTCGCTTCCGGCGTGATAACCACTTTACCTACTGCACTACCCCACTGCCCCTTATGTAAGAAACACAAAGTGGTTTACAGCAAATCATTTAAACAGGGTTTCATGAATACATGCTCTTGTTAATTATGACCAGTAGTAGGGAAACAATGACATGAAATCATCCAGCTACCATTTGTAGGGTGGAATTCCCTAAGGGGATACTAAGAGTACATGGACCTTGACACAATAGGACACAATCTATCACCGAGGGGCCAACTACAGCTGGTAAACTGATCTCATATCACTTCACACCACACCCTGACTGCAACACAGCAACATTAAGCTCACAGTGTATTACTGGTGATAACACCGCTGGTTACAGCAAGGTAATTCAGAAGCTGTCTACTACCAGCTACTACTAAACACATGGAATGCTTCATCTATAGGGTAACACTGTATACTTAAATTCTTAAACTTTACAACAAAGAGTCTTAGCAAAGGGATGGAGGGAATAAAATTAGGAACATGAACTTGAGCAGAAAATAGCTTAAAAGACAATACTTTATGAACTAGGCTAAAAAGGGCGGTAGTTATAGTTCTGTATAGCACACCTATCAATTGGTTGATGATGTATGTATGGAGTATCAGTAACAACCATCAGTGCCAATCAATGCTATAGGATATGTAACTCACACTGTGTATAACTAGTTTCAAATCTTGAATCATCGTGGACTTATCCCGTGTGACTTGGCGCTTCTGTGGTGAACACTCCTACTACACAACACACTTTATGTAGGCTTTAATGTCAACTGTACATGGAGCGTATGTCTGCCTTGAAATGGGCTTCAATGTTTCTCCGCTTCAGTTTGAAGGCATCCGTCACCAGGCCAGTCTCTGGTGTCCAGCCTTCTGGACATAACTTGATTCTCTGTGGGATCTCAAACTTCTCCAGCTTAGCTGTGGAGAAACGATGGAAAAGATGAGATTATATTTGAAGTATACTGTAAACGTACTTATTTTCGCGTGGTGCAATTTTCGCGGAATTGACAGTTTAGACTACATCGCGCGGTCAATTATTCGCGCAATCAGTAATTGCCGGAACTGCCAGCTGTTTGGCCGCCACTAATAGCAGTGAAAACAAACAGAGTGGCTTAACCTGTCAGGCGGCGTTTATTGCTTACTCACAGGAAATCCCTATCTGTGCGATATACTAGTACACAGTAATCCGTTTACTCACGGCAGTATTAAGTGCTTAGGAAGTGAGATATCGTGATGCAAGTACTAGTATATAAAGAGATGAAAAACACATCAGTCTTATGTTCCGAATTCTGACGATCTGACGATGGCATTGCGAATGTGTATATGAAGCTCTTTGTGATTTCAAACAAGCCGGGTTGTTGTGAATGAGATGATTGAGTGTTAAGTGACTATTCGCTTCATGATGTACTGGTAAATAAAATCTTAATGAATAAATAAAATACTGCTGTATTATTTCTTTCCGAGTCGTTTCATGGTAATCTGTTTTGTATCAAACCATCTGTCACTACGATTGGTCGAAATAGAACATGTGACCAATTTCCATGGCGGCCACAACACACATTGCTGTTTTCGCTAATTCGGCGATGGGATTTGGCTCATTATTTAATTATGTTTTGGGAAATCCATTACAGCGACAGTTAAGTATGATTCTTTATGCTACAATCAGTCGTCATTTTAAGATTCCCGTAGATTTCTGTCTTCAAACTTGATGTGTTATGGTAACAACTCGGGGGCGAGCGTTGCTAGACTGAACGAATGACAGATTTATTCGCGGTGTATAAATTTTCAGCTAAAATGTTTTCTACGAAAAGCACGAAAATAAAACCTGCGCGAAATATAATACGTTTACAGTATATCTTTTTCTTGAAGAGTACAACTTTAATGATAACAAGTTCTGGCATATGGAACAGTGACATTTGATGTTCATGTTTTCACTGTTATCAAGTTATCACTGTTTGCTTGATAACAGTGTAAAAATCTACATCAAGACATCACTCTATGCAAAAAGAAGTTGTTATTCATAAAGTTGTATGTTTCACTATTTACTAACCAACTTTAAAAATGCCGCTGAAACAATTATATATCTGGTTGTTAATTGTTATATCATCATACGAACCTCTGTTCTAATTCGGCCATATTTCCCGGTTCTCGTAAAATCCCCTAGTGGCAAAAAAGCGCAACACGAATTATCTCCCTTCTTTCTATCCAATCAGAATGGGGCCACAAATATCCCTCTTCTCTGCTGGGGACTTGTGTTGATGTGACACACAAGGCATTTAATGGTAAGCTTGTCCGTTGTCAACGAGGGCGATGGAGACGCCATTGATCCGGCATTAAATGACTGAGTTCTGTCTAGAAGAAACATTTGCGCATCGGGCAGGGGAAGAGATTCCAGTTTTCCCAAAGCATATGGAAATTACTGAGGCCTTGCGAATGATCACTTTTGAAACAATTTCACTGACTGCACAACTAAATATGACTTCAACCAATCACGAATCCTGAACACTCACACCATGAAAGGGCCGTATTAGAACAGAGGTTTGTAGGAAGATATGACAAGTAACCTCTGTGAGAAGAGAATGATTTCAGAATATAATTGCATGAAATACACAACACAAATTACCTATCATGAAAAACCCAGTATTTAAGATATACTAACATTTAGCCGACAATGCACACAGCCTCTTGTGAACCTCTTTGACCAGGTTGGTGTTTTCACACAGCTGGTTGAACTCCATCCCATTAATGCCAAGTTCTTGGGCCAGCTTGGTCAGGTTGTTTTGGTTGGGGACAACAAGTGCCACTGTGTAGTTGTAGAGACTGTCTGCACACACGCAGACCTGGTCCACCAGTGAGGACATCTTCACAGCTGTCTCCACCTTGGACAGGGACACATACTCTCCAGCCTGAAGCTTAACAAGGTCCTTCTTACGATCTGGGGAACATAACATTGATGTTGAAATGAGGAAGTGAGTTCTAATATACACTGGCATCTGAAATGCATATGGAAACATGTTGTTTGTATTAAAAAGGAAAGTCCAGCTGATGAAGACTCATTAAGTATACCCAGTTAATATTGACACAGTGTGGTTTGGGATAGTAAGGAAAAGATTTATTACTTTACAGAGCCATAAAACAAAGTTTTTAAAGACATAATCTCAGCAGCAGTAAATATTAATGAACTAAGGTCAATGCATAACGAGACAAATATGGCAAAAGTGAATAGCTTGAAGCCTCATCTCGTTATTGTTAATGATTTCCTCTTGTGTAATGCTAGTTATCAAACTCATATTGAATAGTCAAGAAATAATTCTACTGCATGTTTCAAACCAGTAAAAGGAAATTAGACAATTACGACAAGAGCACTATTAAGCTACAACAAGAGTTGACTCGAAGTGTTATCATTCCTCTTCAATTCAAATATATTTTAATCTTTCAAGAATTGTATTGACAATTTATGACTTCCTTACAGTACAATTTGCTTATTTTGTTGTTTTGCACTCCACATTATTCCCAGTGACTGGATCCCTTTTCTAACCCACAGCATCTGTATACTAGATAATTAAGGCACAATAAGAAAACTTGATAGTGACCTATGATTCTCAAACATCCGTCTGCATCGAATTGACCAATATCTCCAGTACAGAAGTATCTGATGCCTCCAATTTCAGTGAAGTCTTCCTTGGTCTTCTCTTCATTCTTGTAGTAGCCCATGGAGACATTGCCACCACCCACCAAGATCTCCCCTCGAGGGCAGGGCTTGTCGGCACTGGTGTAGTTACCTTTTAAAGACAGAACAACATCAGATGGGGCAAAGCTAATAAACGTAAGTGTGATTTACAACACCTTAAGATCTTTCAGTAACCATAAACAACACTAAACTATGAGCAATAATCATAAAAGACGACATTGAACAACTTTCATCTCACCTCACCAATCACCATTACTGCAACCTCCTTACAACTGCTCCACCATGTAACTACTGACATTTGATCAAAAGCTGTTGCACCATAAACATTCCTACTCTATGCTCATACACTTAACTAAATACATGTAGTAAAGAATAATATTGACAATACTGATGTTGGAAAATGTTTAACTGTAAGAAAGCATCAAGGATAAATGGAAACTAGGTATGTGTATTCTTAACCAATCATTTCCATAAAGTAAGGTAAACTAAGACAAACATGGGTGTACCTTCAGGCCAGTCACGTAGTCTGATCTCGCAACACTGCAAGGGGGCTCCAACTCTTCCTGTGCTGAGGTCTGTCACTGGAACACACATTATTACTGTATAAGTCCTCAGGATAGATAATACATTCAGCTTTTAGCAGTATATTCTGTTCTCCAATCATCTGGCACAAATCTCATGAAACATCCAATCCATCTGTCTACTCTACCTTCAGTGACAGTTCCTGCACCACATGTCTCTGTGAGGCCATATCCCTGACCAACAGGGCAACAGAAGCAGATGTTCATGAAGCGCTGTGTTGCATCCGACAGGGGAGCCCCACCACACAGCATCAGTCTCACTTTTCCTCCCAGGAGCTTACAGATCTTGCTGAAGACAAGTCTGAAACAATTCATTCAGCATGTTTAGAATCTAGAGTGACAGTTTCAAGTAAAACCATAGGAAACAGTCTATAACTTGTGTCCAGGAAAATGTAATTATGGGAGTTAACACTCCTACAAGTTGAACCCTATTTTAGTAAAAACGGGGAAATTGATTTAGACATAATATAACATAACATAAATATATGGAAATCTTGGAAAAAATAAAAACCAGGAATAAAAAATATGCAAGGATGTCAGAGAGCACAATTCTATATTAGCTATATCATGTTTACCATTAATGATAAATATGGAGAACCATGAGGATGTGATATTCAGTAACCCATGCATGTTGTAAGAGGCGTCAAACGGGATCGGGTGGTCAGGCTCGCTAACTTGGTTGACGCATGTCATTGGTTCCCATTTGTGTAGATCGATGCTCATGCTGTTGATCACTGGATTGTCTGGTCCAGACTCATTATTTACAGACTGTCACAATATAGCTGGAATATTGCTGAGTGTGGTGTAAAACTAAACTCAATCACGATACATAAATGGATGATTGCATTTGAGGGACGTAATGGATTATCAAACAAGCAACTACGAATATTAGTAAAATCTGCACTACTTACTTCCTGCACTTATTGCTTATGGCTCGAAAAGGCGTGGCTTGCCAGACGATGTTAAAAGACGTAGAACTGCAATCACTTCCTGGTCTCGGCTGCTATTCGTCTGCGCATCCGTCAGCCACCTCAGATTATTGACAGAAATCCCACAGATGGCAAATAAAGCGGGGAGGTAGCTGATAGCGCCAGGGTGGGCCCTTATCATAAGTAGTGCAGGATAAGGATACCAATACAAAAATATTTAGATTTTACTAAAAATTTTAACTTATCCTGTACTACTTACTTCCTGCACTTTTATCCGACAGGCTGGAAGGTGGGCATGTCATCTGAGGGATCGCCCGCTTATGTAATAGCAGCGAGCTCAATCCGTAAATCCCGTGCTCGGGAAGTGTTGGTAATCGCCTATAACAGAGAGCGAATCAGCGAAAGTGACGATCAGGTAGTGGTAATTCGCCAAATAAGACTGAGTCTTAAATGAAAAGAAACCACTAATTTTAAAGCTGGCGAAGCTTAAGGAATGTAGTAAAAGCATGGACTTGAAATACAAGGATAACTCCTTAACTGACATACCTAGTTGTTTCTGAAGAAAAACAACTCATTCCCCACATGGTGGTCCGTGGGAAGAAAACCACAAGGCAGGAGGATCACTTTCTTCGGGGAATGGCGAGTTGCTGAGCAACCACCAATGGTCCGAAGCTGTGGACATCGTTAACGTCCTTGACAGCCAGTCATGCAAATATTGACTGGCAAAAACTGTGTCCGACCGCCCAAAACAACCTTGCATAATGGATGACACAGTACAATTACTGTGAAGTGCCATAGTCGAAGCAAGTTCTCGAATCTCGTGGGGATGAGAGGACGTAGGAGGGTCCAGCCCAGCCACTTTATATGCCTGAAGAATGGTCGTTCTTAACCATAAGGCAATTGTGTTTTTGCTGACATCTGAATGTGACGCCCGGGATAGGGGAAGAAATAACCGTTTCCTTGTACCATGGACGCCTTTGGTGCGATCAATGTAAGTTTTGAGCGCACGAATCGGGCATAAAAGCAATTCAGCATCGTCTTCAGTGCCAACAATAGATGATAATGGCGGAATGGAAAACTGTCAATCAGGTTGACCTGGTAGTTGTTTTTTCGTCCGCTAAAGACAAAAGAAAAACCGTCTTCCTGGATAAATCAGTGAGGGAAGCGTTCTCAAGAGGTTCATAAGGTGCACCATGGAGATGGTCTAAAACAGTGTTGAGATTCCATGCCGGCGGAAGAAACTTCAACTTCTGGTCTTCAAGTCTGAACGAACGAAGCATGGCCTGTAATTCTGGGATTTTGGAAATCCTTCTGTCAGTGGAAACCGCTAAAACTGAGCTAATTGCCGCCAAATACGTGGCAATGGTGCCTCCCTTCAGACGCCTTAAGATAAAGTAGGAAGTCTGCTATGAACTGAGGAGACACTTTCAGCGGATCCTGCTTCCTGATAACACAAAATCGTTCAAACGACTGCCACTTGTCGTCATACAACTGTCTAGTAAAAGTTCTGTGCACCGTTGCAATGGCTTTGGCTGCTCTGGTCGAAAACCCTTAGCACTCAGTGCTTTCTGCAAATGGTCCATGAGTGCAGATTGAACCGATCTGGAGCAGGATGCAGGGAGATGGCTGTGAGGGTGCACGAGAACATTCCTCCACTTGGGTAGAGGGAAGGGATCTCCTACCACTAGACTTTTTAGAAAAAGAAACCAGTTCCTGGCCGGCCACCAAGGCGCGACTAAAATCAGTCGCAGGCAAGTTGTCTCCTTGACTTTAGCGAGAACTTTGGGTAGAAGAACTGGTGGCGGAAACGAATACGCGTGAAGCCCCTCCCACGATAGGCTCAGAGCATCCACCGCCCAAGCCGCTGAATCTGGGACTGGGGACACATACACTGGCAGTTGATGGTTTTGGCTGGTGGCAAACAGATCTATGTTTGATCAACCCAGTGTGGGACTTAGGAGAGTGAAGGCCTCCTTGTGTAGCATCCATTCTGTGGGAGCAACTCTGTTGGGTCTCGAGAGAGCGTCTGCTAGTATACTGCGGCTACCCAGAATATGCTGAACTCTCAACAGAATGTGGAGATCGTCAACCAGTTGAAAGAGCCGAAAAGTCTGACCGAGAAGAAACTGTGAGCGTGTCGACCCTTGCTTCCGGATGTACCATACCACCGTGGTGTAGTCTGTGGCCACCAGAAGACAAGTTCCTCGTAGTCGATGACTAGCAAGGATCACAGCCACAAACTCCAGACTGTTTATATGCCAGCTTTGGTGTTGACTCGACCAAAGGCCGGCGGCTGTCTGGTCGTGTAAGTGAGCGCCCCAACCCTGCATGGCGTCCACGAACAGTTGGTAATCCGGAGGCCGCTCTGTCAAAGAGACTCCTCCTAAGATGTTCAATGGGCGAGTCCACCAAAGAAGATAGCGATGTAACTGAGGTGGAAGACAAAACCGTTGATGAACGTCTGCCAGACGAATGTATGGTTGAAGAAAGCGCTGCAGAGGACGAAGTTGAAGATGCCCTCTGCTGGTAAGATTCAGTTGAAGATGCCCTCTGCTGGTACGATTGTGCGCCGACATCAACAATCCCAAGAGTGCCTGCCACTCTCGGAGAGACAGAGGTTCGGAGAGCGCACGTGGAATCAGAGACTGAATCTTGTCCCACCTGTCCAGAGGAATCTGAACTAGGTTCTTGTCCGTCTGGAAATGGCCTCCGATGAATGTCAGAGTGTGAGACGGGACAAGCTCCGATTTGTCCAAGTTGACCAGCCAACCTAGTTGGCGCAACAGACGAAGGGTGAAATCCCGTTGTTGTATAAGAAGCAGAAGGTCTAACAGGTGCATAAGGCAATCGTCCAGGTACGGGTCGAAATTGATGCCCCTCAAATGAAGATACCGGGAAATAGGAGTTGTGATACGCGACCGTTGAAATTCCAAATGGGACGACAGCCCATTGGAAATGTTGATTGGAACATAGAGGTGTGCATCCTGCAGGTCCAGGCTGATGAGGAAAACTTGACGCATACCATAGATTTGAGGTATTCGAGGAACGTCATTCGGAAGTGCGGAGGACGTTCCTGGAAAGTCTCGTTGAAATAGGACAGATTGTGAATCATCCTCATTTTCGTCGACCCTTTCTTCGGCACTAAGAATATTGGAGAATAAAACCCTGGTGTTGTGACGGGATACGGGAGTAATTCGATGGCTCTTTTCTCCAACAGAATCGCTGTTTTCCGCTCAGAGGTCGTGTTGAATCTTGGAGTGATTGTGCCGGAGTGGGAACAGCGTCAGAGGTGGATCGGAGAGGATGGGGAGCCGAAACCCCTGCCTCAATATATCGGTGACGTATTGATTCTCTAGGAAGGACCAATTTTCCAAAAAGATCCCTATTCTCCCACCTACCGGTGTAGGATAAACTGGGACGACTGGAGGTGGGAGTGTCCAGTCGTGCATGTCCCTCACTTCACTTGCCCCTTCGCCCTGGGCAGGAGCACGGCGACGTTGATATCCTCCCCTGTCTGATCTAGGCTTGGCACCATGTCCCCTGCCACGAGACGGCGCTGTGTTTCTGGCACGCCGAACAGACGGTCGCCGAGGCTGGTAGGTGTTGGATGGCATGGAGGAAGGACGTTGTCCCTTTTGAAAAGCTTTCAAGGCAGTCTCCCCTTTGGCAAATTCACACACCTCCCAATAAATGTCATGAATGGCGTTGTTAAACAGTGTCAACGATGACCAGGGTTGGTGGAATAATTTCCATTGAAACTCTGAATCCCATGAAGAAAAGGAGAGGAAGCCTTGCCGACGAATTATGCACACGCAGGTCAGTGACCACAGGGGCTGACACAGTAGACAGGATAGGCACTGATGCTGGAGGAGGCAGAGGTGCCGTAATTGTCGGAGGTGGCAAAGGTGGCAAAGGCGCTGTAAGGGGGAGAGGTGCCGATGTTGCTGGTGGCATAAACGGCATAGGCGCTGAGGTACCGGCTTGACCTGATAATAAAGTCAAGAGAGTGCTGAGCGTGGACACATCAAACTGCTAGTGGCCGTATGGCGTCTGCATCATAGACGCCTGAGGCATTGGAAACCCTGCAGATGGGTGATACGCATAAGGTGCCTGCCCCAGGAACACTTGAAAGGACTGCGACACAGGAGCCTGGGGTGCCTGACACGGCGCAAACTGCTGACCCATCGGTCGCTGCGGTGACAACATCAGCAACAGTGGAGGAGGTGAGGGAGCGCCAAGCGCCGAAGCGCTAAACGCTGTAACGCGTGGTGACATAAGAGGCGAGGTCATCATCTTGATGCTGGTGACAGATGCACTCGGAGAAACAGTGGACGCTGCAACACTGGATGTAGATGTAGCGAAGTAGAAGACATATTCTTCCGTCTCTGTTGTCCCAGGCGCTTCCTAGAAACCTGGAGATAAACGGAGAAACTCTTGGGTGAAAGAAAAGCGCAGCTGGCACATTTATGGCCAAGGAAACATTGAGTGGTACAATTCAAACATCGGGGATGAGGGTCTCTACAAGACTTCCCACCCCTACAATGTATACAACTTGCGCTGTACATGGATCTGCAATAAAGCAGAAAACCCAGTAAACGCACATGACAACATTACATACAATGGTAATGAACACAACAGCATAGTTGAGAACAAAGTCTCAAAAAACTGAATGATAAAGAGACCATAATACAGACATAATAAATATACCACTATCATATGGTATAGTATATAAGCCTGAACCAAATAAAACACGACTACAAATACGGCGAAGTGTTGTAATGGCGTAGTGATAGAGTGATGACGGGACAGTGTTATAAACGAACGACATCACTAAACAGAACTACTGAACTAAAATAACAAGAGAAAGATAATACCTACACTTCTCGTAGAGGACAAAAATAATAATACACACAAAGTCAGTTTATTAAGCACACACACAAAAAATCCCGTAGGATACAAAGAACAGCTGGCAACCCACACGTCTAGTGAGGCGTGCGAAAAGCAATAATCTGAGGTGGCTGATGTCACCTTCCCGTGATGCATGCGCAGCCAAGACCAGGAAGTGATTGCAGTTCTACGTCTTTTAACATCGTCTGGCAAGCCACGCCTTTTCGAGCTGTAAGCAATAAGTGCAGGAAGTAAGTAGTGCAGGATTAGTTAAAAATTTAACTATATGATCAATCACATTAATAAGTAACAATTCCAGCCGATCATGCTGAAATAAGAGACTAACTTGTTCAGAAGCGGTGTGTCATATCCATTCTCAAACTGTTTCCTCTTGTACTCATAGGCAAATGAAAACAGTGCTTGTCCCACCTTCCCTCCACCATTGACTTTGTCCCACACACCCTTGTAGATCCTATCCATTATCACCTGAAACACATTTGCTTAGTTACTATCAGAGACAGTGGTGAATGAAACAAGGCATTTCCTGCAGAATACAAACAGAATTATATACTGAAGTGTAAATACTTACAGGAACGGCCGCCATCAGAGTAGGATTCAGTATGGACACATCACCTTTACTGCCTTTCTTTATCTTACTGGACTGAAAAAAAGAAAATATAATCAGTGTCAAAGTGTTATACTCGTTTGTTGTTTAGCGTCACATTCCAGCTATATGGCGACAGTCTGTAAACAAGAAGAAATGATCATCAATATCCCCTGCCACACTGTTCCACATTCCAGTGGAGCATACAGGATGGTATAATGACATTTGACGAAATACAGTAGTAGACAAACATCTCAATGAAGCATGCAGGGTGATATTTAAGTATCATTTGGTGAAGTAGTAAGACACGCTTTTCAGTGAAGCATACATGGTAGTATTTGAGTATCATTTGGTGTAATAATAAAACAATCATGACATATGGATCAACTACTAAGAGGATATAGGATGGCATAAGGACACTTGATGAAAAACAGTAATAGACAAGCATTTCAGAGAAGCGTGCAGGGTTGATATTTAAGTATCATTTGGTGATGTAGTAAGACAAACTTTCAGTGAAGCATACATGGTGATATTTGAGTATCATTTAGTGAAATAGTAAAACAAGCATGACATATGCATCAAATATTAAGAGGGTATAGTCTTGAGCTAACACATATTACACTTGATTTTCATGGAAAATCATTATACAAAAAATAGTGTAATGAAATATCCATTATGACCTAGTAACAATTTAATCCGCCAGAACAATACTGTATATAGCGCATGCTACACTTATATAAATAAGTATTTTAATTTGAGATGTTATTTCAGTTCATAGCACACAGTATAGCTAGATATAATATAATAGGAGTAGAGCTTTTATAGTAGTTATTAGCACTTTATAGTAGGTATTGTATCATATATTTATCTAAGAAGAATACTACAGTTTCAATTCCTTGGGCCATTTTCTCTGGAACTTTGTCATGTTATTATTTTTTTGGCTATATATCTTTCAATTGATAGAATTGTTTTTAGTGAGTTTAGAAATGTGTCCAAGGATGGTTTTCTATCATTAATACTAGATAAATATATGAATCTTTTTCCCGCAAGAATGATATTATCAATAAAAAGGTAGCCAGTGTTAATCCCCAGTAATATAGTAAATTTTGTAAATAGGATATTAATATTAACAGTGTTTTTAATATATGTACTTAAGTCATTCCAAAAGTCTGGACAATATCACATGAAACATACACATGTACAATGTCCTCAGATTCTTTTTACAGAATATACAGTGATCATTATCAATTATTTTCATCTTTACTAGTTCTTTTCTTGTGTAGATAGCTTTGTGAATGAATCTGTACTGAAAATCCAAGAGTTTAATATCCTTAGTACATTTTCTATAATTTAAGAAAATAGCGTCCCAGGGTATAGCAATATTTATCACAACTTCCCATTTTCTACACACATCAGGCAATCTATCTGATTTGATCAATTTGTTAAGTAAAATATTCTACAGCCTTTTGAAGGTGTAAGCAGAGTTAATATCGCTGCATTAATACCAAGATTTTGATTTTCTAGTTTATAGTCATTTAATGTGGCTTTCCATGTATTGGGAATACTACTCAAAACTCTATTGTAATCCAAAAAGGTACCTTTAACTTTAAATCTATTCTTAAAGTCATCAAAAGATAGTAGTCCATCAGAGTTACATAAGTCTTTAATCTCAGTAACACCCTTATTAAACCAACTAGAGATAAACAGAGAAGAGTTAACAAATTGATGGTTTAGCCACAACGGTTCATGAAGTATTTTCTCATAGTCATGTTGATCAATTTTAAAAGATGATATATACCTCGTCCATGCCTGAAACACATCCTTCCAATAAAGGTTATCCACTTCCTTAGATAGATCACTATTAGCTCCTAATTGAAGTAATGATATAATGGGAACATTGCAAGGGTTATTGCGAGGAGCTCTACAAAGGCATCTTTTCAATGCTGTTATTTTTAGTGAATCGATGAAAGAAAGGATATCTGTCATCCTAATTCCCCCCTCCCGGTGGTCCTTTTTTAATGTTACTCTTTTTATTTTATCGGGTTTCCCATTCCATAGAAAAGAAAAATTTTTGCTCTAAATCTTTAATAAAAGCATTTGGTGGATTAGGTAGAGCTGTGAAGATATGAACCAAGGAGGAAAGAGCTAGAGTTTTAATAACTGTAATTTTCCGATAACAGTTAAATGTCTTCTTAAGCCAATTTCCTAATGTATTCAGTATTTGAGCCATTCTTTTTGTGTTTATGACCCAGAGGTCGATTCAACTTAGCATTTAATACTATACCCAACACCTCAAAGTTACCAGAAACCCAATCCAATATATATTCCTACAGATAATATCTTTACTATTAATCATAGCCCCTAACCATATTGCTTTAGTTTTATCAACATTAATTTTCAATCCAGAGATCCTATAAAAGAGAGAGTGTATCCATAGCTGCCTTTAGACTATCCTCTGTGCCATCCAGGAAAAGCTGAGTGTCATCAGCATATTGGCCTAGTTTATATTCCTTACGGTTTAGTACAATACCCTTGATATCAGAATTCTCACGGATCATAATGCCTAGAATTTCGGCAACAAAAGAAAAAAGGCACGGTGAAATTGGGTCCCCTTGACGACAGCCTCTCGAATTAGGGAAAAAGTCAGATAAGTGGCCATTTTGAATGACACATGAAGTGGCATTACTTGTTAAAAGCGATATCCATTTGAGCATATAGTTGCCAAATCCGAACTTTTTCATAACAGAATAGATGAAAGGTTTTGAAACAGTATCAAAGGCCTTTTCAAAGTCAATTAACAGCAGGAGCCCCTTAATGTTTTGTTTTCGAGTTTCAAAAATAATGTCATAAAGGAGTATGTAATTTTCTGAGTAAAATTGATATTTTATACTTATCCTGACTCATGCTCTTTTGCTTGTCCCCTTCCTCTTGCGAACATAGTGGAACACTTGTATCTCCTTAATTGAAGCTCCCTTCAATGTAAAATCACTAATTGGTACTCACCCACGAGTTACCTCCCCTGCCGTAAGGGCGGGAACAGGTGTCGCCACCCTCTGGCCTCATGCTTCACTCTCTCCTGATTTTGCGAGCCCAACACTTGAATTTACAGGGAAATCCAAAGTGTTATGTGGGGAGGATGGGAGGAGCTAACCTCATGAGTCAGGATAAGTATAAAATATCAATTTTACTCAGAAAATTACATATTTTTCCTTATCCTGACTCATGCTCTCTTCTTGTAGAATCCACACGGAGGTGGTGGGTAAACAGAATACTTTGGATTAATTAGTGATTTAAGTAAGTGATATTGTAATAACCCCTGCGGGAACTTCATAAGGCATTGAGACTTAGGATATTTCCTTATAATAAGCCATAGATATATACACTATAAGTGGGGTATTACCTTACTAATATACTGATATATCAATATATATATATAAACTGCTACTCTAACGTAGCTGTACACTGAATATAACTCAGTATGAGCTTAAGGTTGAATAACCTAAGCTAAATATGTACATAGCCCTAGAACTCCATGGAGTTATAAGCTAGTGAATATATGTATCATATATCTAATAATCTCGTGGGGGTGAATATTAAGCCTCTGAGGGACTGTCAATTGCTGGCGAGGACCAAGGACCGAAATGATGAATGCCAGAGGCGTCCTCGGTGGTGATATCTCTGAGATAGTGATTAGCAAACACCATGTTAGATTTCCAAAGCATCCTTCCATAATTGTATTCAATGAACAGTTACCATGAAGAGGGTGGATGCCAATGCCCTGATTTCATGGGGATTTGATGCTGTTGGAGGGTCCAGTCCTGCTGCCTTATAGGCGTAAAATGACAGTTCTTATCCATATTGATATGGTGAGTGCGAGAGACTTCTGTCTGATTTGTGGCGATAGCGGGATGAACAATCTTCTGGCGATCTTAGCCTTGTTTTGGAAACGGCGTAAATAGATTATGAGAGCTCATTACTGGGCATAGAGATAAGTCCAATGTATCTTGAGATCCAAGAATTGAGGATAAGCGCGAGGGATGTGAAATAACCTGTCTGGTTGACCTGGTAGTTGATTTTTGGCGATGAAATCCCATCTTAATCCCAGGTGCGCTGTCTTTTGATTTTCATCAAACTGTATCCTCTCATAATCTAGAGCATGAATTTCAGATATTCTGGCTGCCGTGGCTAGCGATAACAGGAAGACTGTTTTCTGTGAGAGAAATTCAAGCGTTAATCGATTCAATGGTTCGTAATCCTCACTTGTGAGGTGTCGTAAAACTACATTCAGATCCCAAGCTGGAAGTGGAATTTCGCTTTTGGTCCTCAATCGGAAAGCGCGTAGTAAGGCCAGTAACTCTGGTGTTCTTGTTAATTTAACACCCGTTCTCATAGAAATCACAGAACTAAGTGCGGCAAGATATGTTGACAATGTCGAGAGCCTTTTAAATGTTTGTTTTGCCGTAAGTAACACAAATAGTCTGCCACTTGAGGATCGTAGCATCTCTCGCTGTAAAACCCTTGTTTGTTGCATAATTTTTGAAACTTTGCCACTTGTCATCGTACAAGTTACGCGTTGAGTATCGTAAAGGCAAGCGTGACGCTTTTGCGCCCTGGTAGAATATCCTCTCTTGTTTAAACACATTTTAATACAGTCCATGCACGTGAAGTTTGAATACTTCTGGGTTTCTGTGCACCTGTTTGGTGTGAGGATGTATTAACAGGTTTTTGGCGCTTGGGTAGTTCTAGTGCCGGTTGACCGATATCTTGTATTAAAGGCGGGAAACCACGTTCTCTGGCCGACCAATAGAGTAGTGACCAAAGTGAGTTGTAGGCTCTGCGTTTGGTTGATTTTCTGTAATACTAGAGGTATTATTATTGCTGGGGAAGTGACAGCGATACGCATTGAGGCCTTCCATGAAATGCTTAGAGCGTCTGTTGCCCATGCTTGTGGGTCTGGCACTGGTGACACGAATGTCGGTAGTTGATTGTTGAACCTTGTGGCGAATAGATCTACTAGCGGGCTCCTATTTGCTTGATTATCTGTGCAAATATCTCTG